ATGGGACGAGTCCCACCACGTCTCTGTTAGCCCTATGTCTTTTGTCAGTATAGATTGTTCCAGCTGCTCCCAAGTAAAAGTACAGTTCAGAGATTTGAGACCTCTTAGGCTTTCAATTTTATAGAGACTGAGAACGTTTGGTAAATATCCTGCTATTTGTCTGGTACTACAGAACATGCGAATGTCTAAAACTTTCATGATATGGTATGGAAAAAATCTACCCCATGGTGAACTGGTAACATAGTTAAAAACTCCCATTTAGGTAGATGCCATAACTTGTGGAAGGATCAATTTTAACTGGTAGTGGAGAAACATGAAAAATCAACTGAGGCTTTGATAGATGCAACTCAAGGCCTTGCTCAATAAAATACGGGATATTAAAACAACTAATAGAACAGTTGGTAGAACAGCTTCAGAATCAGATCTCATTAGTGAATGCTGTAACATGCAAAAAAACTGTCAGGAAGCAGAAACTATATCAGGTAAGCTGCACAATAAAAAGGGGAGAAAGGATTTTGGAAAACAGAAACAATCTGTGTAACAACATTGACCAGGTGACCGTCTCATACAGCTATTTTTCTACCAAGCATGGAACTGATATCTATCAAAAGAGCACAAGTATCTGAGTTGCCACAAAATAATATACACTGCAATAGGATGAAGGTCCCAACAAAGAGGAATTGATCCACAAGGGAATATGATTATTGGATGATGGTTAAACTATTCTTCCAAGGGATGTGTCCTAGATTGAACAGATGACATAATGAAGGCATGGAAATCCTTATAAAAAGAACTGAGCTGTTGGCTTTGGAAGTAAATCATATTCCCTGTGCAAACAGCTGGTTCAATTAGAAAGCACTCTCCTGTGCAGGAAGTCAGAAAATGCAGCTGGAAAGTAGAACATCCCACCCCTTCTACCTTGCAATTATAATGGTACACCAACTGGATGTAGCAGTTTGGACCTACCACTAAAGCATCAGAACTTTTGTACATGGACAAAGCATGAAAAATTGCGCCTCTGTTCAGCAGCATGGGTGGGACTACAGGAGACATGAAGAGATCTTACTGCTGGTAGAGTTTGTGATTAAACTCAAATCTCTCAAACTAGTCTCTCCAAAACTTACTTTGGGGGTCTACTAAGTAATGGTTTGTGTCACTTCTCTCTTTATAAGTCCAAGGAGCTGGAAAAATTCTACCAAAATGTTTCCTTTGATATTTTAAACTAAGCCCTAAAATACTGGAAAAGTCTGTAGGACCGTGTTCATATAGTACATGACACAATGCAGCTTTTTTTTATTTGATGATTTTGGTGGATATCTGAACCATACCATAAAGTACAAGCATCACAAAGGATGAGTTGTATCAGGTCCTAAACTATATCACTTAAAAAGGTTTATTGCTTGATCTTAGATTATGGGATAAACTCTAATTTGTGTTTTACTGTGGATACTAACAATTCTGTGTAGTCACAGAAAGTATATTTGCTGTCACTCCTGTTCCTCCCAAATAGTATTCTGTTGTTACACTCCCAATGTTTGTACTTACTTTATTGTTTAGATATTTTTCAAAGCTGACATATTGTCTGTGGTGAATGAATAAAATATGATTTGGTTAAGAATAGGTAACTGTGATCATATAAGTTAAATGTTTGAACAATAGAAATTACCATGAATGAGTATAGCATTGAAGAGGGTTCTTCATAAGGTTTGAATTTTTGTAACTGTATATTATGTTCTTAAGTATAAAAAACATTTAAAATTGTAAAGGGAGATGTGGGGATGAGTTGAACTCTTGAGGTTCTTGGTCCTCCAGTTTCCAGAACAGACAAGGAGAGATTTCAGCAAGTATTTACTCAAATGCAACATGAGGTTGCCGCCCCTAGTTCAACATGGGGGGAAAAAGAAACCTCACCTTGGATTTGAGTACAGACTGGGACCAGCGGCTGCCATGACACTGTCTCCATCTCCAGCCCCAGTCCCAAGCTAGGGGAGATCGTGCAGTACAAGAAGAGGCAAGTATGGGGGAAATTGCATGGTGTGGAGGAGGAGACCAAGGGGAGACTGTGGTGTTTGCAGCCCAGGGGCAGCATGGAGTGCCACCATTCAGTGGCACAGAAGCTGCTCTGCCTCCGCCTCAGGGTCCAGGCCAGGACTAGCTGGAGCTGCTGCCATTCCTGCTGCCTGGCTGGGGCAGGAGCCAGAGCCACCACCATATAGAATAAGCAGTGGCCAGTGGTTATGGGGGTCAAGCAGTGGAAGGGGCAGGCACTGGGGGTGGGGAGAAGGCACAAGGAGGACCAGTGTCAGGGGGGCAGGTTGGGCTGCAGCAGCCCTTTACACTGCTCAGCCAAAGGAGTCCTGCT